CCCACCTCTGACTTGTTGCAGCAGAATTTGCAGCTCCAAAGGGAGTTGGAGCTCTTAAGACAGCAAGTGGCGCTATTCATTCAAGTGACGGGGCTGGCCCCCGCCGCTCTTGCGGCTGCCGGCATGTCGCCGACAAACACCCACGCCTACTCTGCACAGCATCCCACCATGCTAGCGCCGCCTCCGCAGCCTCAGCCGGCCCCACCCTCGACCCTGCAGCAGCAGCTGTCGCCGCCGGCGCAGCAGCAGCAGCAGCAACATCAACAACAACAAATCTCAGCTGTCGTTATGGCCGGTGTTGGCGGCGGCGCTGGCAGCTTGCCGCCACATCCAGGCAGTGTTGCACCGCAGGCTGCCGCACTCTTCCGCAACGCAGCCGTCAGTCACGGGGCGGGTAGCGGTGGGCAGGCCGCGTTCGTACACACGGCGTCGCAGCAGCAGCAACAGCAGCAGCAGCAGCAACAGCAGCAACAGCAACAGCAGCAACAGCAGCATGCGATGCTTTCCCACGCCCACAGCGCTTGCATGGGGCCCACAGCAACTGGAGGAGTGTCTGTGTCTCCGTCGGCCCATGGCTTCACGGCGGGAGGGCACGCGAACCTATGGGCCGAGGCGGCGTCGGGCTCGAACAGCACGTCGGATAGACAGCAAGTTGTTCGGATGGGTTTCTTCGGGTCTGACCACTTGTTTGACCTACGTTACAAGGAGTGGTAATTTCGCATTCACGGCATTCGTTAGGGCGCAGGCGGGTAGGTCTGATGCTGAAATCGTCTTCCCGCTGTTCAGCGGCCGCGTGTGAACTGTACCGTTCAGCGCCCCGCCAGGGGGTCCGTAGCGCCGACAGGAGCGCAATTAATACCGTTTTTTGTCCGTTCGGCGTCCGCGTTCCCCGCTGAAGCTGCCTTCGTTGCGCAGAAGCCGCCGCGCTTCATGTAGCTCACCCTTCCTATTTGACCCTATCTAACCCTGTTTGAAACCGTGGGTGGCCACTTCAGGGGAGTCTTGCGGCTGTGGCAGGGCCAGGGGCTCCTCCAGGGCCCATGTCAGCGCCGCCGTCGTCCAATCGCCACAAGCGGTCTGCTTCGATTGACGTGTCCTCCCTGATTGCGACGCGGGACGGCATAGGGCCCGCGAAGGACTACCTGGCGCCAGCGGCCTCACAGTCGCCGGCGGCTGCCAGCCATGCGCCTCAGGGCCACCTGTCGCCGGAACGTCGGTCGCCCCTGGCGCGAGATGGCGGCACTGGCACCGGCACTGGCACTGGCAATTTCATGATGGACATAAGACCGCACCGCCGGCGTT